GGGCGGGGAGCAGCAAGAATTTAAGTGATCCCTGGCTTTAAGGGATCATCGCTTCTGATCAGGGTTTTCTTGTGTTGGCCTTCGTATTTCATCGTCGGTCATCAATCTTAATTACGATGACATTTTGTATAAGCATTACATGACGAGAGTGAAACGCATCTGTGATACAATAATCTTTCGTTCGATTTCTCTTATACAGCTTGATTTGACTTGTAGAACGTTCATATCTTTATTCAAGGTTGATGTGTTCTTGTAACTCGTATCATTTGAAATGTGCGCTTTTATTCATTTTTAAAATTATTTCTTTTTGTTTTGTGAGAGCCCTTTCAGTTTCAGTATTCAAAGGTACAGCTTGATATTTTTACAAAAAGAACGATCTCACTCATTTTTTTTATTCACTCAACTGGAATTAAAAAGAACACTAGCACCAGTTTTTTTTCTTGTTTTTTTTCTCTTTTGAAATAAAGCACGGAAAACAAATTGTTTTTAATACGTGTAAGATTTTGGGAAAACAGTAATCTTAGAAAACAGTGAATGAAATTAATTTAACCCTACACAAGATGGATTCTTTCAAAGATTTATTTTGTTTTGTTTTGTTGATTTGTTTTTTCTTTTTTGCATTTTAAGTTTATTTTGCTTTTTTATATTTTGTTTTTGTTTTTGACACTTAAAGTCTTTATATACGGAGAAAGGGTAGCCCTACTTACAATATCATAGAGCGTGATGTAGCCGCCTCTTTTGTTGACGTAGCTCATGAGGTCACGTGCGTGTGACTGGTCGGCTGACCACAAGTCTGTCATCAGCTTGCTGAAGCCAGGGAGAGCAACATCTGCCCTCTCATAGAAGGATGCCTAGTGGTTGGAAATTGGAGAATTCAAGTAAAATTTAAAAGGAGTGGGTGAGACAAGAGCGATGGGGAAAATCAGAGAACCGTCGTATTTTTTTTCAGATCTTCATACTAGTTTTAAGTATGGCTTCGTGTTAGCACTATTTTCATTGTGTAGATTGTTTTTTAAAAACTTTGTCATTACCAGGAGGCGTCAAACATATCCGTTTCCTGAATATTTGGACTCTTTGAGGAAAACAGCCTGGGGTTCTGTGAAAATATAAATAATATGTGAATTTTAAATTCATTACAAATTTAACATTTAAAACCCAAAATGTTCAATATCCAACCAAAAGGATTACAGAGGTTTTCTAACATTCTCCATTATGAGATTTTTTGCAATAATTACATATTTATTAAACCTTGAACGGACTAAAAAGGGCATGTTTAGAGAAAAGTCTGCATTGATGTAACAATGTGTCTTTAGTATTCTTCGTACGCATGTTTGTGATTTTTGCATTTTAAAATGTGTTTATGTAGTTTTTTGTATGTTTACCAGTGTTACCAAAATGTCCATGTGAATGTCACTAAAGTGTACATATTTTATCGTGTATTATAATCATCATTTTAATATAACCTCTGACAAAGCTTTATTACGAAACTGTTCTATTCTGATGGGTTGTTGTTGGGTTTTTAAAAATAATCCTTATTCCAAGCAAACGTCGTGATTTTAGTAGTTTGCAGCGGAACCAATAACAATAATCATGTTTTTTTTTAAAAGCATCATTGTGTTTACCATTCCCAGATAGAAGTAGCTTGTGTTCAGCAACTTGTTGACCAACCCATTCAGATTCTCCACATGGTGAAGGTTTTGGCGAACTTCTTTCACTGGCCACTGGGCTGAGGAAAATGTG